GCATTTGACTTGAACATGCATAATTTGCATGCCCCCCCCCCCCGGTTATATGCCATATAACCGGGGGGGGGCATGTTCAATGCCCCCCCCCCCCCCCTCATCATTTATTAAATTTCAGAAAAAATCTACTTAAAAAATCTATTCAAATACGCAATCTTTTTCAAAAAAAAATGTTAAGATCAAAAGATTTAATAAATATAAATACATTCAAAACTATTTTTAAGCGATATAAATTCATGATAATTACTTTAATAAAACTTAGCAAGAAAATCCATTTTAAAATTTTTTTTTCAGTTAATGTAAAAAATCTTCGAGAAATTTGGAAAGGCATTAATAATCTAATAAATGTCAAAAATTATAACAGTTCATCTCCCAACTGTTTACAAGATAATTATAGATATTTAACTGAACCGACTCTAATCTCTGAAAAATTTAACACTTTTTTTACAAATGTTGCTCATAAACTTAAATCCAATATTCATTCGTCTTACGTCAACTATCAAAAGTATCTAAAATATCCAAACTTACATAGTCTACTCTTATCTCTAACAAACATTCCTGAAATTTCATCTCTTATATCTAAATTGAAGCCGAGAAAATCATTAGGTCCAAACAGTATTCCTACAAACATTCTTATTGATTTTAACTATGAATTTTCAAATATTCTCTCTAAACTATTTGATATGTCATTCATGAATGAAATTTTCCTGATATTTTAAAATTATCTTGTATTATTCCAATTTTCAAAAACGAATTTTTATGTACTAACTATAGACCTATTTCTCTTTTATCTAAAATTAGTAAGCTTCTTGAAAAATTAATGTATTCTAGAGTGTACTCTTTTCTAAACTCTTTTAACTGTTTAAAAGAGTTTCAATTTTGTTTTCAATCAAACCATTCTACCTGCCACTCACTGATAAGTATAACTGAAAAAATTAGAAAAGCTCTTGATACTGGTCATTTTGCTTGTGGTGTTTTTATTGATTTACAAAAAACTTTCGATACCGTTGATCATAGCATTTTGATTTCTAAGTTAGAACATTATGGAATTTGTGGAGTTGTAAGTGATTGGTTTCGATCTTATCTTTTGGATCGGAAACAATATGTAAGTATTAATGGTTATACTTCTAGTAACAAACGTGTTACATGTGGTGTTCCTCAAGGTTCCGTACTTGATCCTCTTTTGTTTTTAATTTACATTAATGATCTAAATAATTCTGTTCACTTCTCGTCGGTTCATCTATTTGCAGATGATACCAATCTCTTGCATGTCAACAAATCATACTATTCTCTATGTAAAAATATAAATTTAGATCTTAAAGGTATAGTTCATTGGTTAAATGCCAACCTAATATGTCTTAACACCGAAAAGACTGAACTAATTTTTCTTTCATCTCCTAGAAAAAACTGTAACAACAACAGAAAAAACTGTAACAATGTTGAAATTAAAATCAAAATAAATAATAAACAACTATATCCCTCGAGAGTTATTAAATATCTTGGTGTGTTAATTGATTGAAAACTTTCGTGGAACTTTCATGTCGATGAGCTGCGCAAGAAACTTAATCGTGCAAATGGTATGCTTTCAGTAATTCGACATTATGTCGATAAAGTTACTCTTTTAAATATTTACTATGCATTATTTTTATCTCATCTTAGTTATTGTTGACAAGTTTGGGGTCAAACTGGCAACTATCATCTTAACAAACTAATGTCATCTCAACGCCAATCCATTAGAATAATAAACTTTCAACCTTTCAAATCAGATACATCAGATTCTTTTAAAAAGCTTAAAATTCCAACATTTGCTAGTAAAGTTTGCTAATCTTCTTTTTGTTTTTAACTCTCAAAATAAAAATTCTATCGCAAATTTTTTTTTAGAAAGTAGACTAATTCATACACACTACGCGAAATATAAATAATGGAAAACTTATTGTACCATCATATAAAACTCAAAAGTATTGTAAGAATTCTGTTGTGTATCAGTGCATCTGTGAATGGAACAAGAGCCTTGTGTGCATTGTGAATGAGTTCAATAAACTCCTTTGTCATCTTTTTGTTAATCTTAATCAAAATCAATTTAAAAAAGTTCTGATAAATATTTTATTATAATTTTTTTTTATTACTATAATAATTAGCCTTATTTTTTGTTTGTTTTTCTTTCCTCTTTTATTATTACCTACACATATAATTTTTAAAAAGTTTACTTTATGTGTGTCTATGTTTTATGTTTTATACCTATATGTTTGTTATTAATCATATTATTTTGAAAAATTGTGTCATTCTTTTGATCAGACTTCTGTATGAGTGACACCATCCATACTAATTATTAACTTATTATAATAAGAAATAACATTTAATTTTACTTATTATTATAGTAATTATTATTATTTATAATTTTTTTTGTTATTATTATTTTTTTTATAAATTGTTACTGTTGCTTATTATTTTATAATTATTGTTATTATTATTTACCTTATTATTGTAAAAATGATTTTAAAATGGAAAATAAATAGCTTGTTGTTGTTGTTGTTGTTGTTTTTTCACCAATAAAAAAAGGAACAGAAGTAAATATTTTATTACTAGACTAGTACAGATACTCAATACCTGAGGGAGTATAATTTAAATGTCTCTTTTATTTTAAGACCCTTATAGCAATGTAAAAATTTTTATTATATGTAAGTTTTTTATATGTATTTTTAATTTGAAAAGTTCTATTATATGTACTTTTATATAAGAAAGTTGAAAACAGCCTGAAGTTTGAAAATTTTTAAAAATTTAAAATTTAAAGGCAAATTTTTAGAATTTTTTATTTATTGCTTATTGTTTTACTACATATTTTAAAATGATCCTTAAAAAATTAATTTTATATTAATTAAAAAAAGTTTTAATTAATTTTTGCTGTGTTTAAAATATAACTATGCAAGGTTAGAATTTGTATTTGCTAAACAAAACAGAAAATGTTCTCAATTTTTGCCATATTTTTAGCATCATGGTTCTAACAAAGATATTTTGTATAACAATAAAAGGTTTGTCCATGTGTCCCTTCAGTTCTGTTTGAGACCTTGGAGTAAAAATGAAAATTATTAAAACGAGATTAAAAATAAAGCCAATAATGTAATTTTCAAGATATGTAGCTTTGAAAATAGCTTTCATGATTGCATTATTAGTCACTATGACTTCAACAAAATCTTTTTGGAATGATTTACTTGCATAAATTATTGCAATACAATAGAGCTTTTTAAGCTTTTTTACTTCTTAATGAATGGTTTTTTATCATTCAATCAACATTCAAACATTGAAATTTTTAAAATTATGTGGATAAAACTTTTGAAATTGTTGTTTAACATCAAAAATTAAAAAATTCTGATGTTAAAAACGTGACCCGTATGGTGGTTCACAATATTTGTTTCTAAATGAGGAGTGACCCGCATTGTGGTTCTTAAACAATTTTATATATTTAAAAAGATCTACAGCAATTAGGGAAAACTTTAAACTTATCTTTGAAATGTGAATAATTTCTTAAGCTAATGCTTCAAAGCGTTTGTTAATTGCTTAAAGCGTTTGAGATTGCTCAAAAATCAATTTTAAAAAAGACTTAAATTAGATTAAATTATGCTGATATAAATAAGATCCTTGATATTTTATTCAATGATGGTTGTGAAGATTTTTTTTATTTGATCACCACTTTATAGTGGTAATAAATGCCTCATTTATTTAGTATCTAAAACGATATGTTTATGTATTTCTTCTTTATTTGTTTAAGGTTACATAAAGAAACTATATATTTTTGTTAATTTCAACATGATATATTTTGATCACGTTACTAAAATAATAAATAAAAATTTGTTTAAGTTTTTTAATATTCTGAAAGTCAATTCTTTAACAAAAAAAAAAGGTTTTTGTAAAATTCTGACTATTGTTCTGACGAGTAGTTTTTATTTTATGCCCTTTTAATTGATCATTTTAGTTTATTATTTTATGTGCAGTCATACAGCTGTTTTTAACTCGCCAAAGGATTAAAATACTTTTTTTTATATAGAAGAATACCTGCCAAAAATTTTATTTTTAAGCACATGAGATATTCTAAAATAAACAAAAAGCGTTTTTATTCCCGGATTTTTCTGGATATGTCTTAAAAATATTTTTCTGGATTTTTTCCTGATATTATAAGGAAAAATTTTTCAGGATATTTGAAATATGACCAGGATAATCTATGTAACAAATTCTTTTAAGATACCCGGTTCCGGATCTTGCAACAAAATGGTAAATTCCTGGTACCTGGGAAAACAGTTAAATTACCAAGTACCCGGCACATCACTAATTATTTTTATTATTAGCTATTTAACAAATAATATTTTTTATTACATCAACAGGGTATTTGTTATTCAACTTGTTATCAGATGCAAAAATTTTACTTTGTTATATAAAAATCTTATAGACTATCCAGAATACAGGTATTGTATTACAAACTTCAGGTATCATATTAATTAAGATTTTAGTTTTCATTATATTATTAGTTTGTTTTTGTTTATGCACCTAATTTGTGAAATGCATAGATAAACATAAGCATGAAGAGAATTTGATTTTTATTCTTCTTATAATTGAAGTTGCTAAAGATTTCTGAATTCTAAAAGGTCATTTCAAAAACTTACCTCACATAATCCAATGTAACATCTTATTTTAAGTTTTATGCCTTTTAACAAAAAAAAAAACTCTTTAATACCTAAACAAAGTCATAATCATAGTTTCATTTCTTAGTTTTTTTGATTAATTGCTTCACATTTTAGGTTATTTCTTCTAGACGTGCTATTAGAAGACTTGAATTGTAAGAGAAGTTGTTTTTCATGTTCATATTGGGTATTTTTAATAGTTATTTTTATCTTCTTTTTTTTTCTTTTTTTTGAGGTTGCAAATATATTTCTAAGGAAGAAACATTTTTGTTCTTTGCTGAAAATTTTGAATCAAAATCACTGTGTATAATGATGTTAGTTGCTGAGGACTGCCAACAGTTTCATGAAGTTTGTTTTTTATTGCTTTAAATTTTTTTTTTGTTATACAAATGTGTATAATAATATATATATAATAATAATAATAATAATAATAATAATAATAATAATATATATATATATATATATATATATATATATATATATATATATATATATATATATATATGTATATATATATATATATATATATATATATTAGTAAAACCTGCAAATTGATTTCTACATGTTTGTTTTGATGTATATTTTATGTGCTATGGTTTGTGTGTTTACGGTCCATGTGTTTCAGTGTGTGTCTTTGCTTATTATTACTTATATTATATTAAAAATTGATGTCACTCCTTTGATCAGATTTCTGTATGAGTGACACCATCCTAATAAATCATTAAATTATTATTATATTAATATTAGTTATTATTATTATTTTTTCATTGTATTTATTGTAAAAATACTTATTATAACTATTACTATATTTTGTATAATTATATTTTTTATCTTATGTTATTATTATATATTTTTGCTATTATTACTATTATTATTATTATCAAAACTATTGTAAAATGATTTACGGAAAATAAATAGCTTGTTGTTGTTGTTGATATATATATTTAAAACTACTGTTCTTAACAAAAAATAATATTACTATTAATTATTTACTGTGGCTAAAGTTATTTCTCACTTCTCTTCTAAAACTTGTGGTGCAAACCAAGTTTCTGTCAAAGTCTTGCAAAACTTTTAAAACTTTCTTTTGTACTATCAAAGTTATCAGTAAAAGAACATCAGTGGCTTCAATTTTAAAAACTCTGGAACTCTGACTCGTTCAACTGTTGCTCAGTTTTCTTGATATTATTTGCAAAATTTTTGAGTCTCTTAGTAACAAACTTCCAAAATCTTGTCTTTAGTGATCGTAATAACAATTTTATTGTAATAATAAATATTTTGGTGATCGTAATAATAATTTTATTGTAATAATAAATGTTTAACAAATAGTTTATTAATTTAGCAGCAGCAGGAGTAGTAGTAGTAGTAGTAGTAGTAGTAGTAGTAGTAGTAGTAGTAGTAGTAGTAGTAGTAGTAGTAGTAGTAGTAGTAGTAGTAGTAGTAGTAGTAGTAGTAGTTAGTAGTAGTAGTAGTATATATTTTTAAGTATATACATGTAGGAATCATTACTGCTGTATAAAACCCTGTCATTGTTGTGTGAAGCTACATCACATGTAAAGTTTACTTTATTAAGACAGAAGAAAAGTTTGATGCAATGTGCATTAGGTAAGATTTATATTTTTTGTGAATAATATACTAAAACGTTCTAAACTTTTTGAATTCTTTACCGCCTTTGATGTGTATTGATTAATTTTGTATTGAATAATTGTTATAATATTATATATGATATTATAGTATCATTTTCTGAACAAATTAACATTTAGGATTTAATTTTTGTACATTTATGATTTAGGATTTCCCAAGAGCTTTTCTTTCAAATAAAAAGCTTCTTTTAGAACCAAAAATCGCATATAAAAAGTATATATAATTTTAAAATATATTTAATTTTTTAAAAACTTAAAACTTAACAAAAACTTAAAAAACTCAGATTTTTCTGAGTTTTTTGTTAACAAAAATTTTTTTTGTTAACAGTAAACAAAAATTTTTTGTTAACAGTAAACAAAAATTTTTTGTTAACAGTAAACAAAAATTTTTTGTTAACAGTAAACAAAAATTTTTGTTAACAGTAAACAAAAATTTTTGTTAACAGTAAACAAAAATTTTTGTTAACAGTAAACAAAAATTTTTGTTAACAGTAAACAAAAATTTAAAGAACATAAAAAAATGGAAATAACAGCTGATCAATGATTGTCTATTTTTGATAAAAATGATGTTAAAAACAGAAAGTTGAGATTATTAAGTTAGCAATTAAAAGTTTTTGATTGTTGTAGTGTTACCAGATGTCCTCGTATTATGAAGGAGAGCACAGTAAAAAGTTTGATTTTTATAGGTTCAGCATTGTATTTTCCCCCTTAAAACCAGGACATCTGATGTAACCCTAGATTATTGGAAACCCTAGATTATTGGAAACCCTAGATTATTGGAAACCCTAGATTATTGGAAAGTTTTGAGAACATTAGTTTACTAGATCTTTAGTTTACAGTATTAAAAAAAAACGTGAAAATATTATTTGAACTATTTATTTTTTTTATTATAATTGAATTTTTTTTTCTGAAAAAAAAAATTCAATTAGTTAAATGTAAATGAATTTTTATGAATGAATTGAATTTTTTTGAATGAAATTTGAAATATTCACTTCTCAAGTTAAAATAAAAAATATCGCAAGCGATCACAAGAATTTAAGCTAAGTAGTTATTTACTTGCTGAAATTAGTATCTCAAAAATTTAAGATCATTAAAAGTCAAAACATTGTAATAGTGTCTTTAAATAGAAAGTATAAAATAAATTATCATCATAAAATGGCGGACAAAATACAACTCTATTAATTGCAATTTACTTTCAAAAAAAAAAGACCTACTAGAAAAAAAAGTTTTTAATAAAAAATCAGTATTAAATCAGCAGCTAAAAAAAAAAAAATTTTTACTTTTTTCTTAGTGAGTGAGTTAGTTTAAAGTAAAGATTTTCTAAGAAAAAAGTAAAATTTTACTTTTTTCTTAAAAAAAAGTAAAATTTAACTTTTTTGCTTAGCAGATTATTAAAAAACTATCTATTGTTTTTGGCGATTCAAAATAGTATGCTAAAACAGCTGTACGGAGAAGTGAAAGGATTTATTGAGAGTTAAAAGCAAAATATAAAAATTTATATTTTATTTTATTATAAGTTATATATATATTCCTCAATATTAATTTATTTTAAATCACCATTTTTTTGTGATTATCAGGCTTTATAATAATATGATCCTATACAAAGTTGCACAAACACATTATAATGCAAAAAGTGTTTTGGTTACAAAAGGTTCAAACTTTATGTGGCCACACACACATGCTCAATGTTCCTAATTAACAGAGCAATTATAAATTAGTAAAAATAATGTGATTCAAAGCTTAAGTGCTTTATTTCATAATTTTTTTTTTTGTGAAACTAAAAATAATCATGATTATCTTTAGTTTCAATGATTATCTTAAGTTTCATCAAAAAAAAAAGCATATAAAAGCTTTAATAAAATATATTTATCACAAATTCAATTCTTGAAAAATTTTTTATTGTGTCACCATTGACCCTTGTCGCTCCTTACTCATTTTCCTAACCACTCCCCCTCCCCATCCCACAATACTAAACATCAAGTTTACATATTTTGCATAAGTTTACATTAGATCTAAACAATTATTTTGGACCTAAAACAGCAGTTTTATATCTTTCGAATGCGTCTTATAATGCGTTATAATATATATAGAGCAAGCATAGGCAAACAGAAAGAAAAATAGTTAGATTTCAAGATTTTATAAGATAATGTAAGGAGCTAATGTAAGATGACATTTGGTGCTGGAGTTGCTTATTAGATTTAATCGAATATACTGCTGAACATCTAAATTTTTCAAATTAGGTTTATTAAAAAATGTCTCAGTGGTTTTAACTTTATATTTTTTTAATGCAGGTTTATTGAAAAATATAGCTTCAGTGGATTTAACTGTAAATATAAATGAAAAAAGTCCAACTTTTGGTTTTAAGCGCGATCTTATTCGATTAATTGGAAATATGAGTTATCAAAATGAAGCTATTCAAAATGAGGTTAGTTTTAAAATTTTGATTTTCTAGAATTTATTTACTTCTAGAATTTATTTAAAAAAAAAGATTTATGATAAGTAAATCTGTGCCTATTTTATTAATTATATGAAATTACAATGAGCATTCCAACATTTTTTTTTTTCCATTTTCAACATTTTTCAACAGACTTAAGGTTGATCAGCATAAATTTCTGTTAACTAAGCTCTTATCATTTAATGTTTAAGGCCTTTTTTTTTTTGCTTATTCTCTGTACTTCTAATAAATAGAATCTAAAAATATTCCAAAAAATTATGAAAATGCTTCAAAAATTTTCATGCTAATTTAAATTGCACCCCTGTAACGAGTTGCATCTCTTTAATACACATCCTTTTAGTCAGTTGCACCCCTTTAAAGTTTTATGTGTATATATATATATATATATATATATATATATATATATATATATATATATATATATATATATATATATATATATATATATATATATATATATACAGCTGCGAAAAATAAAATAGCACCACCACCAAAAATTGGTTGAAATTAGAAATTTTAACTATTTTTGATGGTTTGAAAATCTTTTAAATACATATTTAAAAGTAAAATGACTTATAATTTTTATAAAAAACAAAATGTACAAGTTTTAATATATAGTATTCATTTATTAAACAAAAATTCGAAAAAAAATCAAATAAAACGCGAAAAAAATAATAGCACCACAGCTTTAATGTGTACTTTAAAATAAGGAAATATAATGAGATCAATCGTTTTAAACATTTTACACTGTTGGAACACCCAGGACAACGGTATTTCATAGTCTGCATATGGCGACGTCACTTTATCCAATATATTAACATAAACGTGTTGGTCTATAATAGTAGTATTGTGATGAATGGGCCTTACTCCGTAATAAGAAAAGCCCATATCATTATACTACAACCTCCATGTTTAATAGTTTTGATGGTATATTTTGGATTGTATTCTGCATTCGGTGGTCTTTTGACATACGCCCGAGAGCCTTTTCCACCATAAAGCACAACCTTACTTTCGTCTGTCCACAAAATATTCCTCCATTTTTCGAGTGGCCAATTTAATGGTTTTTTAGCAAACGCAATACGCTTTACAACATGTCTGGCACGTAGAAGTGGAACTTTTCTGAGGCTACAGGCTTTTAATCCATTAACTTGCAGACAACTCCAAACTGCTTGTACTGTTGCATCGATGTTAAAGTCCTTTTTCAGCTCGGTAGCTGTTTTAAAATGTTCCTTTTTAGCCTGTCGGACTAAGCGATTGGCCAGCAATGTTGAAATAGAACGTTTTTGACCACGTATTTCAGGCTTTTCTTGAAATTTTATGGCATTTCTTATCATTTTATTGGAACACTCAACTAAACAACCAACTTCTCGATAAGATTTCCCTGCTGATATCAACTTTTGGATCAGTTCTCTTTTTTTTGCACTACAATGCTTTCCGCTTTTCCATATTTATATGTAAATGTCTCCTACTAATACTTACTAACATAAAACGTATAAAAAGAAAAAAAAAACCAACGCTTGCTATTTTCACAATTATTTTTACCGTTATCAGAGTATTTTACAACAAAAGAGTTTGTGGTGATATTTTATTTTTCGGTCAGAATTAGCATTTTTAATTAAAATCGAGCAACACCAAGCATTTTTTTTTTTCCCAAAACAATATGTTTTAGAAAATAAACATGTTAGCTAATTCTAAAAAGTAAAGCTATAAAAAAAATTTATTTTTCATGGTGTTTTTTTAACAAAAAGGAAAATACCCTTAGTGGTGCTATTTTATTTTTCGCAACTGTATATATATATATATATATATATGTATATATATATATATATATATATATATATATATATATATATATATATATATATATATATATATATATATATATATATATATATATATATATATATGTATATATATATATATATATATATATATATATATATATATATATATATATATATATATATATATATATATATATATATATATAAATATATATATATATATATATAAATATATATATATATATATATAAATATATATATATAAATATATATATATAAATATATATATATATATATATATATATATATATATATATATATATATATATATATATATATATATATATATATATATATAAAGTCAAAAATAAATTCATAAGTAAAAATTAGTTGACTTTGGAATTTATTAATTTACTGAAAAATCTAATATGAACTTCCTACTAATCGAGATAAAGTCGATTTAGTTGATTTAATTTTTGTTTGTTCATTTCATAACAATAACATATACTATTAAAACTATTAAGGGAGACCGGGGCTAGTTGGCAGCAGGGATAAGTTGACGAACTGCGTTTTTCTTCAAAGCCTTTCATCAGAAAGTAACAAAAATTACATAGAACTTTCCTAATTGACCATATCATCTTTTACTGGAGTATTGTTAGGATTCACGTATGCGCATGGGAGATATTGGGATTTATGTGTTTTTTGGACAAAAACGTGACTTTTGGAACATCGCTTCCTTTTTAATTTACAAAGAAAATATTTAGTCGCATGAAAAAAAAATTTTTGAAAAAATTTCAGTTACAATTGGTTTACTATTTCCAATCTTTTTTTTCCAATAGTTGGCGTTTTTCACGATCTATAGACTGTTTATAAAAAGGCTTTTAAGGTAAGTTGGCAAAATCTTCACGGGGCAAGTTGGCTTACAGCATTTTGTACAGAAAAATAAAAATATTTTTATAAAATTTATATATTTTTTAATTTTTAATTTTTAACAATATTAAAAAAATTTATTTTTTCACAAAAATTAAAAATTAAAATTTACTTTTTTTTATGACGAATGCAAGTTAAAAATTTCTTAATTCATATCCTTTAAGACTACGCTTTAATATTTACAAAAAATTTTGCCGTTTGGACAGAGCTCAAAGAGTAAAAACAATATGCCCGGTCTCCCTTATCTAGTTTTTTGTTTACTCTTTTAAAGTTTTATCTAGTTCATTGCATTATACTCATTAGCATTATTTATACCTAATTGAACACTCGGTTATGTATTTTTCTTTTGTTAACTTAATGCTTGTAATTTTCATTTCATACAGGGCCGTTCCAAGCTGGCTCGGGACCATGGAGCAAAATTAAGTTGTGAAACGCCAAAATCTAAATATCTTCTATTCAATCTAATTGTAAATATGATTGTGTAGGCTATTTGATATTTAGCAAGTATTTAAGGCAGTGTTTAAGTTATTGGAGTCTGGGAAAGGTTGTCTGGGAAAACATTTTATTTAACTGTTGCCAGAAGCAGCTGCAGATACTTGTAGTCATGGATATAATTATGATATCATTATGATATCTAATGATATCTATCATAATTATAGGCTTGAAATCAATATCGTTTATTTCTTGACAAATTTGTGAAGGTTCGCAATTTACACTGCATTCAGTTATTTGGCTATGAAAATAGCCTTTTATGTTTAACAAAATAATTATGTCAATTTCTTTCACTTGCTTTCTTAATTTCAGACCTCAATGAACGGGTCTTGCAATGTTTCTTTCTCATTTTATATTTTTTAGTAATATCTTGTGCTCTAGCAAATTCTTACTAACTTCACTTGATTCTGGATCATTGCAAATTTTTTTATAAAGAGAAACTACAATATAAGTTTTTGAAATCGTATTTCACAAATTTTCCAAAGTTAGTAATAACAAGAGTGTGAATATTATCTTCCATTATCCTGCAGCGCAGTAAAATTGAACGGCGAGGCAAATTAAATGACAATTCGGAATCGCTTAAAAATATATTCAATAAAATATTGTAAAACTTTTTCTCTATATGTCAGTTATTTCTTGAGTTGTATTTACAAATTCACGAATGTTTAGTTTTAGATCATAAAGATTGTTTAATATAACAGAAGACATTTCAGTGAGTAGTGCATTACTTAAATTTGTATCACTAATATGTGTGATATTATATTACATGTCTATTTCCAATAAACTTGCACTTCGTTTATGCTTTTAAGTTTTACCATGGACATTTTATTAGAAGAATTCTCTCTCCTATAACTGTTTAAAGAAATTTTTTCAGAATTTTTTTTTAAATAAATTTCGATGCAATGTTTTGTTTACTTTAAACACCGATTATAAACATGTTGTTTGACATAATTATTCCTCAGAAGGATTCTATATCTGTAGCTTGGTTAATATTCTTATTTAAAAATCCTCCTTTAACTATATCAAACAAACATTCCAAATCACTATTTACCATAAAAGCTTGCCATTTTTTTTAAAGTTGTGCAGGTTCGTCGTGTCGTCGCGTGTTTCAAGACTATGTATTCTTATAACTGTGGTCTAACGTTTCCATATAGAAAAACTGCAAAAAAATGTTGAAATGAATTTATATTTCATATTTTTATTGTTGTCTTATGTTTATATTTTTGTTATTATCTATTATCTTATCTATTCTTTATATTTTCATTATTATCTATTATTGTTACACATTATTACCTATTATTTAATTTTAATTTAAATTCATTTAAATATCACTATTTTGCTATGTTCTTTTATGGGAGCGTTTGGCAGATAAATGCTAATCTTGTAAAATTTACATCCCAATAAGTAAGAGATTTTTAGACATGTATAATTTTAATTCAAATAAAATTGATTTGAAAAATTGAATAAAAAAAAAAAATTAAAAATATATATTGATAAAAAAATATAAATGAATTTAAAAAATAAAAATAAATATTTTTATTTTAGGTACACGATTCAGGTGGTATTCCTCTCATTTTAAATGCATGCAGTATAGACGAAAAAAACCCTTGTATCTTTTTTCTATATAATTTGTTTTCTTTAACAACTTTAAACCCGTGGTTTTTAAATTATTTGTTAAAATTGATAATTAGACGTTATATACAGTTTGTTATTTGTGTAGGGGAGAGTGGGGCACCATGAAACATTGTAATTGAGGAGGTTGTAATCTTCAGAGTTGTGACAATCACTTTCATATAGTAAAACAGTTACTACTATGTCTATGTTTTGAAAAAAAATTATAAAAAATTATTCATAATCATCATATATCATTTGAAATTATAAGGCCTGCGGAAGGTCGAAATTTGTGTTTTTTTTTGATGACAAAGCAATTCATTAGTTTTTAAAGCTCATAAGTTTTAAGGTATCTCAGTCAATGTATCTATCTGTAAATAGCATTATTTGTAAACTACAACCTATAAGCTCGTTACTTCATTAAACAAAATCATTGAAAAAACAAGTTGATACTAAAATCAAAGCGATTGTTTTCTATTAGAAAGTGTAGAATAGTACTCTATTGTGTCATAAGCAAATCTAAATCGTTTTTAATGACGCTCATAGAGTGTATCAAGGTACCCCATGGGTGGGGTACCTTGAAGCAAATTTTTAATTTTACTTTAATAGTCTCACAAGCTTAACCTGTTATATTTTGGTAATTAATAAATTTAATTTTGTATGTATAAATTCACATTACAAATTAAACCAATTGCCTAAAAAAAAGGCGTATTAAAAAAATTGTTACAAAGCGAAAACCAAAAGTGTGTCATGTTGCCCCACTCTCCCCTATTCTAATTTTAATGAAATATCTTATGAAACCCTTCTGAGAATTAAATGTACATGTCATTAGAAGTCCTTTTGAAGAAATGTACATATCATTTAGAGTCCTAAACAAGCAGTTCTAAAATCCTAGATTAAAATTTTATTTTTTTCATATAAATATTTAACAACTTAATTTCGACTTTTAAGTTCAAGATTAGTTTTTTAAAAAAATTATTTCGGAATCCTCAAAATTTAAGATATTTTGAAAATTATTTTCAGAAGACAAGAAGTGATCAATGATCAACAGTAGTGACAAATTGTTTAAATAACTGTAAGTAACAGTGAATTATCATGGGATTTTTTCTGAAATTTCAGAAATTTCACAAATGCAATTACTTTTGAGTTGATTGAAATTATTCTAAGTTACAAAAATGTTAACGCTTAAATAATGAGTGCAGAAAATCTATTTTGGTATTTTGCGTAATGAAATCAAGATTTGACAAATAATTACATGGTTTAATTTATTTAGTATACATTAAAAGATCTTAAAAATTATAGTATAAAATCGTTTATATAAATGGTTCTTAACCTTTTTGCAGTCACGGGCCACTTTCAAAATATTAACAATTTGACGGAATCCTTCCAAACTTAATTGTAAATCTAAGGAAAGAAAAAAACCATTGAAAAAAACATCTTTATTTTATTAAATATTAAGTAAAGTTTAGTTAAACATCGAACATGCATAATTACATCAATTTATATAATGTATACACATATACATATAGTATATATATGTGTATACAAACATAATGTATACATATATATCACATATATAATGTTTATTGATGTAGTTGGCAACTACATTAATAAACATTGTATATGTAATATATATGTTGCTGCTTTTTTTGTGTGTCAATAAGCACACTAAATTGAAGAGTTGTCTTAGACTATGTAAGTTGCATATCGTCTTTGACGTCTAACCGTTTACGATTTATAATTTTTATAGACACTAATGTTGAAAACCTTGACTCACAAAGGTACGCAGTAGTAAACGGAATTAATATGGAAATTGCTCGTTTAAGCATGTCCTAAACTATACCAAAAATTAAAAACATCTTTAAACTATCTTTAAAAAAATCTTCATTGTTGATATCAAATGTAAATGAGCTACGCACTCAAGTCTACTGATTATAGTTTTGAGGGCAAAAGTACCCTTCAGAATAGTTTTATAATGTTTCAAGATTTTCTGAGACTTTCTTTCGGACTCCTTCATTTAAACTTTTCGCCGATTGCTTTTCACTGTTCAACAGTAGTTTTTCCATCATACAAATAGTAGAATTCAATCTACTTGAGGACTTTTTTTGAAACAGACTCACAAAAGAACCACATTTTTTTAAACTTGGTTAATTTTTTTTTTTTAATAAACTAGTTGGATTGGTTAAAAAATGCATTTAACCATCGTGATGATCCACATGATGAATATATGGAAAAAATAGACTTTGATGAAAGCTGTATGTTTCTGACTTGCCGTGGCTGTGGTGAATCTGATAATCTACGTTGTCTCGAAATTAACTGCAACATTTTTCTAAATGTAAGCATGTTCTTTAAGACGGTCCTAAACTAAAAAAAAAAAAATTTAATCATTTTTTCAAAAATTATATATTCTTGAAACTTAAATTTTCTACATTCTAAATATATATAGATCATTATAGATCATTATAGTCTTTTACCCATGGTGCTTTACTGCTACATTTCCAAATAATTTTCTTCAAAAACTTCACTTTTACCTATGGTGCTTTACTTCTAGATTTCTAAATAATTCTCTTGACTTTCGGCAAAGAATAGTCAGTTGTACATCTTTATTCAGCCATGACTGATTTTTTAATAAAGATATAGAAATTAAAATGTTTACTTAAAAGTTAATAAAATTAAAATTTAGTTCTAAAAAATATCTGTTTTGCATTGTAAATTGCATGCAATAGTCAAAAAAAGATGCATGCATTAGTTTGCTAAACTAAGCAAATTAAAATACCTCAGCTTCTTAAGTTTATACTGTGTACTTAATTTCTACTGCAAAAATTTTCAAAAAATCATACATTAACAAAATGTTGTGTATCTCTTGGTTTTTAAACAAATCACAAAAAAGCGTTCGAAAATTTCTCAAAAGTTTAAATTAGGTTGCTTATAAATGCATTTATGCAAAAAAGTTAAGATGAACTTAAAAACATCTTTCAGAATTTAAACAGGACTTTTAAAATTGCTTGTTTTGGACTATAATTGGCATATACAATTTTCATTCATAATCAACTGCCATGTTTCAAATAACAAAAAAAGCGAAAACTGTTTATCGTTACTAAAAATGGTTGTTTAGAATTGGTATTTCCCTCATGGCATTTCATTTTAAAAGAAAACGATTATTTCAACATTGTATCAAATTTTAATGTTTTAACCAACACAATAATATGGCTTAAGACATATCACATAATGCAGTGCCGGATAAAGGGGGGCTAGGGGGGACTATAGCCCCGGGCCCCGCAAATTTAGGGGCCCAAAAAATTTTAGAGGACCTTTTTTTTTTTTTTGAACTCATTTTTAGGCTCTGGCCCATAAAAAGGCCTTCAAAAACAAAAATAGCCCCGGGCCCCAACAAGTCTTACTCAGCCACTGACATAATGTAATAAAGTCAAGTTTAAACGTTTTTAAAAACAAAAATATTTTTTTAAATCAAAATATTTAACGTTTTTAAGTATTTTTAATCAAAATATTTAACGTTTTAACAATAGAAGTTTTTTGTTGTTGTTGTTATTGTTTTTTGTTTGTTTTTTCGTTATATAAGTGCTCCAAGAAGACCTAATAGTCTTATCACTGTAGTTTTGTATCACTGTAGTTTTCAAAATTTTTACTTATTTTAAGCAAAAAAAAAATTCTTAACAAACAAAGACATAATGCAGTGGTCTATATTTGCTACCCGTAATCTATGTGAGGGAAACGTTCGCAACCAACGTGTTATTAAAGATTTAGAACAGCAAGGTCTTGCGTCGAACGATATTCTTACTGATTCTCATGTGTGTGTAAAAATCATAGATGGCAAAGTAAAGTTAGGACCTATTGACTATACGTAAAAGTGTTTCAAATTTTCAATACATACTTAACGAGCTTTGCTACCCAAAACGCTTTGTCTATATCAGTTTCTTAAAAAGTAGATACCGCTGCGTCTGCAACGCTTATTGCGCACAGTATACATTTATAATATAAAATATATAAAACTTATAAAAAACAACTATTCTGAAATTGCTAAGCTTTTAAGGCAAATTTAGTCAATAAATCGCTTAAAGCGACTTTTTGTAAGAACCAGTGTAAAATCATATCGCTTGAAGCGACTTTCTGTAAGAATCACCGTAAAGTCATATCGCTTAAAGCGATATGACTTTACGGTGATTCTTACATGGTACTTTCTATATACGTTATATAAAGTCATATCGCTAAAAGCAACTTTCTGTAAGAATCACCGTAAAATGTTTTTGATAGCTCTAAAATTGTAATTTTTTTAATATGTTATTAGTATTCATGGTAGAAGCTTTATTCCAAAAAAAATTTTAAACATTCATTAGTTATCTAGGTATTGGGTTTCAAAGCTTGACTAAATTTTTAGAAATATTGGCCAAATGCGTCGAAAGCATTTTTAAACTTGAAAAAAGAACAGAGATACTTTCCAATAGGCATTTTACTTACTTTTTTTTTGGCTAGGTTAAACCTTAAGATAATAAAACAGGTAAAATAAACATTTTGGCTTGTTTAAATACCATGCTTCAAAAATATACCAAAATTTTTGTTGTTGTTGTTGTTGTTGTTGTCATTTTTCATTTTCATCTAATGCACTATGCGTCGCCCTATTACAAAATGAGGAAAAAGGCTTATAAATAAGAAAGCATTCAACATATTAAACTGATTTTTTCACAAAACATCGAATTTTTGTTTATATTTCTATATTTAAAAGAAAAATATCCGGTTTTTATAAAAAAAAAGTTTACGGTTCATCCAGACTGATTTCTGATTATTTCGGAAAATTACGTATGCCTGGATATTTTTATTTAAAAACAGTAGGCACCGATAATTTATAAAATTTTACAAACTTTTTTAGAAATTTTAAAACAAAATCATTAAATATAAACTTATTAAAACTATCAACAGATCTGCTATCATCTGATTCTTTGTTCTTGAGTTTCTTACAAAGTTTCTCAACGTTCTAATCTAAAAGATATTTTTTAATAACTAGTGGCTATAAAAAAAGTTGTTTTTTTAAAAATTCAACGCAGAATATCTTATCAGTATAACATTTTTAGTTCATGATATATGTCTTTCTAGATTAGGTAAATACAAGTTAAAAATTATAAAATTATTTCTTAAATTTAAAAAAACAAAAAAAAAAACAAAACCTTAAATTATTGTTATAAACTATATTGAGATTTCTTTACAAAAAAAATAAAATGATAATAACAAAAATAGTCTAAGAAAAGTAGTCTAAACTACTAGCAATAGCATAACATTAAAAAAAACACTCAACAGAGGTACATATCAAAAGACACAAACAAATAATTAACTGTATCCCTTGTGTTTTCTACCAAAAAAGTTAGACGTGCATGACTAACTTGTGCAGAGGGCTGTAAATCCTGGCTCGTGTTCGTGAACGGCTCGGTGATCGGCTCGACAAGAGCTCGTTCATGTTAGGCTCGAATGGTAAACGAGCCGGGCTTGAACAAAAAATTAGGCTCGTTTATTAAACGCGCCGAGCTTGAACATCATAGACTCGTTCATATAGGCTCGATTTAAGCTCGAATATATATTTATATTATAATAATATATATGTAATAAATAAAATTGTGATATTATATATATTAGTATAAAATAAAAATATAGTGTTAGTGTAACCATATGAGATATAACCCATATACCTCTTATTACACTAAATAATTGAATAATATAAACAATTTAATTGCAAATTAAATTAGAGTTTTAAACCAGTCGAGCTCGAGCAATATGTAAACGAGCCGAGCCCAAACAATACTAATCCTTAACGAGCCGAGCTCGAACAAAGAATCTCATGTTCGAAACGAGCTCGATCCGAGCCTGAACACTCTTAATATGTAAACAAGCCGTACCGAACCCTGGCAAGCTTGGCTCGTTCGACTCGATTTACAGACCTACTTATTTATTTATTTATTCTTTTTTAACACCCAAATTACAGGAAAAAAAACTAATTGTATAAAGCTAATAGTTTATACTTTCAGTGTAAAAAATTTAAATTTTTCTTGGGATATTTTCCTCCATCAACTTAGTAAATACCAGTCTTTGTTCTCTGATATTCCAGAATTCAAAAAAATGGTTCAAAATTGCCGCTACATTTTCTCCTACGTCATCGTAGCAACGTTTTACCGTTATTTTTTTCCCCTCTATCAAACACTGCACGAAGTTTAGCTTAAGTTGATTGCAAATTTTTATTACTTCGTTGGTAAATAGGTTATCTTTAGTAACATCAGATATCTGAGCCAAAATCAGGGAAAAACAAGTTGGATTGTTCAGTAGTCTGATAAACAGATTTAATTTGTTGAATGAGGATGGTAGATGTCATCAATTTTAAAGAAAGGATGCAGGTAGTTTTTGCTGTACTTCGATATACTAAATAGGAATTTTAATGCTGACCTTCCAACAGCGTCTAGTTTATTAAGAAGTGAGTTATTATAACAACAAATTTCTAACCCGTATGATAAATTCGGTACAGCCAGTGATTTGAACAAGTGTACTATGGTTAATGGTTGACAAAAACGAATACCCGATTTTATAAGAGCTCTGGATATTGATTGAAATCGAATAATACGTTCGTTTACATTTAATGTTTGAAGTGTTGCTATATTTTTTGTATTATTTTGATTATCCCATAGGAATCCGAGGTGTTTCAGTTTATTCTTGAGGTGTATGGAAAAGCTGTTTATTTGAATTGAATTTTTTGTAATTGAGCTTTTACCGGATATAATAAACCCGGTTTTTTCAGTGTTTAGTTTAATATATAGGTTTTGGCATTGTGACTGAACTTTATTAACCAATTCTTGTAAACCAGAAAGAGTAGGACTTAGTAGGATTATATCGTCTGCATAAGCTATAATACCGGTGTACACCCCACTTATCGTTGTTCCAACTTTGCAATCTGAAACAATTTGATTTAATATACTTTGAGTGTATAAATTATATAAATGTGGTGATAAAATGAACCCTTGTCGCACGCCATGAGACAAACGGAAATGATTTGATTTATGCCCAAGGTATGATATACTAGCAGTAACCGATAGGTATAGTGATTGTAGTGCGCGAACTACTGATAGCGATAATTTTTTGTTGTAATAAAGTTTTTCAAACAACAATTCCCAGTTACAGCTATCGAAAGCCTTATTTGCATCTACACTACAAACATATATTGATGAATTATTGTTATTGTAATGTTTTTATGCGGCTTAGCTTTTTTTGTTTCTGGCTTCAATAGCAATCTCAGACAAAGATGATACTTAGAATATAGATTGTACAGATTGTGACATGGGTATGGTTTTTTGTAAAATGTTATTAGCAGGGCTGTAGAGTCGGAGTTGCGGAGTTGCAACATTTTTAGCGGAGTCGGAGTCAGAGTCGCTAAACAAAATCGCGACTCCGACTCCAATAGTAAAACTTCTCGGTATTGCACGTGCATGTGCAAAACATTCAATTACCCTATGTTCATACTAAACCTCAAAGAATGTTTCATAAGTTTATCAAAAAAATTTTTTTTTTATAGCGTCATATTTTTTAAAAAACTCAAAGAATTTTTCAAATATTTTACTTTGGAGTTGTAGTCGGAGTCGGAGTTGGAGTTGGAGTCGGAGACGGAGTTGTACTCAAAAAATTTTAACAACTGGAGTCGGAGTCGTTACTTTTTTTTTACGACTCGACACCCCTGGTTATAAGTAATGATTGCAAATTGATATTCAGATTTCTGATTGAAAATTTATATCCACTTTTGTAGTCGTGGTGTTCATATCAATGAGTAAGTCTCAAGACAACTTAATTAATCAGATTTAGGTGCTCTTTGTAGTACACTATAAGTAATAAAAAAAATACATTAAAGCATATACAACACCAATAAAAATATCAAACTTAAAAGTGTTTTTGTGAAACATAGTAAAAACAATTTGTGTGTGTATATATATATATATATATACATATCGAAAACTGAGGATATATATATACATATATCCTCAGTTTTTAAGTGAAATGCAATAAGTCTAAAAGCATTATTTTGAGATAATGAACAAATAAGTTTTTCTATAATAGTTAAAATAATAAGTTTTTGTGTAATAGTTGAAATAAAAAATCTTAATAACTCATTAATAATTGATTTATTAAATATGGATAGTGTATCAAATGATTGCATTTCCCTAATATACCGACGATATATATATATATATATATATATATATATATATATATATATATATATATATATATATATATATATATATATATATATATATATATATATATATATATATATATATATATATATATATATATATATATATATATATATATATATATATATATATATATATATATATATATATATATATATATATGTATATATATATATATATATATAGTCTTGCATGGTAGTCACAAAGTTCTTCCCATAAACTGTTGTTTTAAAGAGCGCGTTAATAAGCCTGACCAGAAAATGTTAAAAAACTTCACAAAAAAAAAATTTTTATTAAATGATAGACTGCCTGCCCAAACCAAACCCTTAGTCGATGTAGCAGCACTCCCTTGCGAGTCAGGCTATTTGTCAGTCGATGTAGCAGCACTCCCTTGCGAGTCAGGCTATTTGTCAGTCGACGTAGCAACACTCCGTTCTTTTTAAGAGTTCTTTTTAACAATAGTAGTAGATAAATAAATAAACACTATCTCATTAACAACCATTGTAACAAGTTTACAGTCCAATACCTAGGCTTGCATTTTTAGAAGAATCAAATTGTAAATTTACAAAATCTTCATTTATATTTAAAAAATTATGAACAACTTCTTTGTTCGACAACTTATTGAAGAAGGATGAGCCTGAAATATTTTCAATTGAACTTCAGTCTGAAAGTATA